TCTAGTCCGGGGGTAAGCAAACTTGGCTCTTTTATGACTGGTGGACTTCAACTCCCAGAATTCCTGAGCCAGCCATGCTGAGGGGAAAGGGAGAGGTTTCCAAGCTGAGCCAGGCTGGCTCAGGAATTCTGGGAGTTGAAGTCCACAAGTCACGAAGGGGTCAAAGTTTCCCTCATGCTGGCTCAGGAATTCTGGGAGTTGAAGTCCACGAGTCACGAAGGGGCCAAAGTTTTCCTCATGCTGGCTCAGGAATTCTGGGAGTTGAAGTCCACGAGTCATAAAAGAGCCAAAGTTTCTCTCATGCTGGCTCAGGAATTCTGGGAGTTGAAGTCCACCAGTCATAAAAAAGCCAAAGTTTCCCTCATGCTGGCTCAGGAATTCTGGGAGTTGAAGTCCACGAGTCATAAAAGAGCCAAAGTTTCTCTCATGCTGGCTCAGGAATTCTGGGAGTTGAAGTCCACCAGTCATAAAAGAGCCAAAGTTTCCCTCATGCTGGCTCAGGAATTCTGGGAGTTGAAGTCCACCAGTCATAAAAGAGCCAAAGTTTCCCTCATGCTGGCTCAGGAATTCTGGGAGTTGAAATCCACGAGTCATAAAAGAGCCAAAGTTTCCCTCATGCTGGCTCAGGAATTCTGGGAGTTGAAATCCACGAGTCATAAAAGAGCCAAAGTTTCCCTCATGCTGGCTCAGGAATTCTGGGAGTTGAAGTCCACCAGTCATAAAAGAGCCAAGGTTGCCTACTCCTGACCTAGACCCTTTCAACAAGTGGCTGTCCATTCTCTTCTTAAAAAGGAGAAGGAGGAAGAGGAGGAAGAGGAGAGACTCAAATCTTTTGGCCTTGCTCGGAAGATTTCCTCGCTGTGGAAATCTTACTAACAATAGCTTGTGGACACACACTCTGCTTCATCCCCCAGAGGCCAGCATTATGGAACTGATCTCTATTATTGATGAGCTGCCGAAAGAATGCTGCCCTGGCTGAATGGATGGGCAGGCCCATCAGCGCTAAATATCTTAATGCACCAAGGATGGGGGACTTGCCTGATTGCACGGGCCGAAAAAAGCCAACGCAATCTTAGGCTGCATTAACAGAGGGATGGAATTTAAGATCAGGCGAAGTTCTTGTACCGCCTTGCAAAGCCTTAGTAAGGCCCGGCTTGGAATACGGCATCCACCTTTGGTCAGTCCAATATAAAAAAGATGCTGAAACTCTGGAAAGAGTGCAGAGAAGGGCAACAACGATGATTAGGGAGGCTGGAGGCTAAAAAACATGAAGAACGGTTGCAGGACTTGGGTAGGCCTAGCTCACGGGTAGGCCACCTTAGCTCTTTTATGACTGGTGGACTTCAACTCCCAGAATTCCTGAGCTAGCCACGCTGAGGGAAAAAGGGAGACGTTTCCCAGCTGAGCCATGCTGGCTCAGGAATTCTGGGAGTTGAAGTCCACGAGTCATGAAGGGGCCAAAGTTTCCCTCATGCTGGCTCAGGAATTCTGGGAGTTGAAGTCCACCAGTCATCAAGGGAGCCATAGTTCCCCCATGCTGGCTCAGGAATTCTGGGACTTGAAGTCCACGAGTTATAAAAGAGCCAAGGTGGCCTACCCCTGGCCTAGCTTAATAAAGAGAAGGACGAGGGGGGACATGATAGCAGTGTGTCAATATTTGAGGGGCTCCTACAAAGAAGAGGGGGGTCAAGCTATTCTCAAAGGATCTGAGGGCAGGATAAGAAACAACGGATGGGAACTGACCAAGGAGAGAAGGAACCTGGAATAAAGGAGAAATTTCCTTACAGTGAGAACATTTAAGCAACGGAACTACTTGCCTCCAGAAGTTATGGGTGCTCCAACATTGGAAGCTTTTAAGAAAAGATTGGACAACAATTTGTCTGAAATAGGGTTTCCTGCCTGAGCAAGGGGTTAGACTAGATGACCTCCAAGGTCCCTTCCAACTTTGATTCTATTCTATTCTATTCCATTCTATTCCATATTCTATTCTGTTCTATTCTATTCTATTCTATTCTACTCTGTTCTGTTCTGTTCTATTCTATTCTATTCTATTCCATATTCTATTCTATTCTATTTGTTCTCTTCTCTTCTCCTCTGCTCTCCTCTCCTATTCTATTCTTCCCTCCCTCCTTTCCCCTCCCTCCTTCCCTCCCTTCCTCCCTTCTTTCCTTTTTTTCCTTCCTTTTCTTCCTTCCCTCCCTCCCTTCCCCTCTCCCTTCCTTCCTTCCTTTCTCCCTCCCTCCCTTTTTATTCCCTCCCTTCCTCCCTCCCTCTCCTTCCTTCCTTCCTTCCTTCCTTCCTTCCTTCCTTCCTTCCTTCCTTCCTTCCTTCCTTCCTTCCTTTTTCCTTCCTATCTTCATCCCTCCCTCTGTTCTTCTTTCCCTCTCTCCCTCCCTCCCAAAATGAAATGACGAATGATGAAGGTCCAGGAAACTTATTTCCCTGAAGGCTGCAATCTGCTTCTGGGATACTTCTGGCACGGCCACAATTTGAAACACACACACACACACACAGAGGCTGGCTGTGCTTGGGAAGACATCTGCTGGATAAGCAGCTTCTCCATCAAAGAAGTCAGCAAAGCAATTTGTGCCGAAAGGGGAAAACTCCTCCGTAATCAGTCTGGGCTTTTCTGCTGAGCTGGCTGGTGAGCTGATGCGCTGGCCCGTTTTGGCCCAGACTCCAGGTGAGGGCTGGGAAGGAAGGAACAGGCTTGGCCAAGGAGGAAAAAGGGCTAAGCCTAACTGGTTGGGGAAAAGGTGGATGAAGTAGCTGGGTTGTGCTTGATTTCATCCCGGTGAGCTTTGCAATCCATTATCCAGACCTGTGCTGCTCAACCTTGGTGACTTCAAAATGGGTGGACTTCAACTCCCAGCATTCCCCAGCCAGCATGGCGGTTAGGAACCTTTATCCATTTTAAGGTGGGTGGACTTGAACTCCCAGAATTCCTTCCTTCCTTCCTTCCTTCCTTCTATCAGTTTCCTCCCTCCCTCCATCCCTCCTTTGCCTTTCCTTCTTTTTTCTCCTTCCTTCCTTCCTTCCTTCCTTCCTTCCTTCCTTCCTTCCTCCCTCCCTCATCTTTCCTTCTTTTTTCTACTTCCTTCCTTCCGTCACTTTCCTTCCTCCCTTCCTTCCTTCCCTCCCTCCCCCCCTCTCTCCCTGAGGTGAACTCCACCCATCTTAAAGTTGCCATGGTTGAGAAACAGTGATCAGAACTGCTTCAGATAATGGACAGTGTTAAGGATGAACTAACCAGGTTATTAGCCTGTTTCTGAATTTAGAATAGAATAGAATAACGGAAGGGACCTTGGAGGTCTTCTAGTCCAGCCCCCTGCTCAAGCAGGAGAACTATACCGTCTCAGACAGGTGAATATCCAGTCTCTTCTTAAAAATCTCCAGTGATGGAGCGCCCACGATTTCTGGAGGCAAACTGTTCCACTGGTTGATTGTCCTCACTGCCAGGAAGTTTCTCCTCAATGCAGATTGCTTCTCTCTTTGATCGGTATCCACCCATTGTTTCTCGTCCTTCCCTCCCGTGCTTTGGAGAATAATTTGACCCCCCCCCCTTCTTTGTGTCAGCCCCTCAAATACTGGAACGCTGCTATCATGTCTCCCCTATTTCTTCTTTTCTTTAGACTAGCCAAACTCAAGTCCCGCAGCCATTCTTCGTATGTTTTGGTCTCCAGGCCTTGGATTCTCTTGGTTGGTCTTCTCTGAACTTTTTCCAAACTCTCAACATCTTTTTTGAGATAAGGTGACCAAAATTGGCTGCAGTATCCCAGGTGTGGCCTTACTAGGATTTTATAAAGCGGTACTAATACTTTGCGTGATCTTGATTCTATGCCTCTGTTTATACAACCCAGGATTGTATATTTCACACCCTTATTAACATTTCAGCACTGTCGGTCTTACCCACCTCCTTCAAAATCGACATCCCAATTTGAGAATAAAAGTCCCGGTTTTGGCACGGAAAATTTCCACCCCTGGTCAGTGAAAATGTATATATATATATATATGTAGGTCTTTGATTATTCGGGTTTTCTCCCGCGTAAAATTGGATGTGTCTTGGCGACGTTTCGACGAAGTCCCATTCGTCATCTTCAGGCTGGTGCTTTCGGCTTCGTGCTTCGAGGAGCAATGTGTGGTCTTCGTGCTTCTTGAAGCACAAAGCTGAAAGCACCAGCCTGAAGATGACGAATGGGACTTCGTCGAAACGTCGCCAAGACACTTCCAATTTTACGCGGGAGAAAACCCGAATAATCAAAGACCTACATACAAATACCCGTGAAAACCTCAGAAAACATATATATGTATATGTGTGTGTATGTATATATATATATATTTAATTGTTTTACCTCCTGGTGCTCATTTTTATCTTTTGAATATATATATATATATATATATATATATATATATATATATATATATATATATATATATATATATATATAGTTCCCCCAGCAATAATCAGCATTTTTTTTTTCGCCTACAGCTAATCCTCACAATCAGGAGCGCAATTTCCACCGCTAAGCCAAGCAGCAGTTAAATGACCTGCAACTAGATTTTATAACCTGTGTCGCTACCATTCTTCAGCAAATCGCCACAGGTCCTTAAGTGAATCCCGTGGTCGTTAACGCGAATCCGGCTCGCCCCCCCCTTTGCTAGTTGGGAAAGGTCCCAAACGGTGGTTACACAACCTCGTCATTCTATAACCCTCGTAAATGCATGCCGGTTGCCAAGTGCCTGGATTATGATCGTGTGCCTGTGGGTGGGAATGCGAGGACCAGCTGTAAGTGTGAGGACTGGTCATAAGTGTGAGGACATGTCGTAAGTGCGAGGACCACCCCAAATCGCTTTTTCCCCGAGCGCCATTGCAATTTCGAACAGTTGTGAAACGAACGATTGTAAGTTGAGGACTACCCATATCTCTGTTTGAAAAGATAACCAGCGTATCGTCTGTCTCGGAGATACGGCAAGGACAGGAAAGGACGCGAGAATCTCAGGAGGATTTCACGGTGTTTATTAAAGGATGTGGGGGTTCACCCTGGCAAGCTATTGGGGTGGTGGTGGTCAGGCTAAGAGCAGGGAAGGCAGAGAAGGGAGAACTCTTGGGGAGAGGGGGTGCCCGATGCCCGTGGTGCCAGCTGGCGTCCCAAGTCGTATTTGAAGCCCTGAAGCCACAGATGGGGAAGGCAGCTCCCCGTTCGCTTTCTCTCTTGTTCCCACCCGAAGGGGTCAGGGTAGTTTTCCGAAGGGACCAGAGGCTGGAAGACAGAGGTGTGGGGAAAGAGAAACAGGCACCTGGGCGAGAAAGAGAGAGAGAGAGAGAGAGAGAGAGGGAGGGAGGGAAAGAGAGAGAGGGAGGGAGGGAAAGAGAGAGAGAGAGAGAGAGAGGGAGGGAAAGAAAGAGAGAGAGAGATAGAGAGAGAGAAAGTGAGAGAGAGAGATGAAATCAGATTCAGGAATAGATGAAAAATAGACATTTTAAAATTGACAAATTTGCAGAAGATTTTTTTTTCCTCAGGGAGATGGGGAATTTTGCTACTACCCTAGCTGCAAAAGAAAGAAAGAGGGAGAGAGAGAGAGAGAGAGAGAGAATATTGATGCACAACAAACCCCATTACAAAATCTGCTGGCTCACACAACCCATTAAGCCTACACCTGGGTTCTTGCGGTTGTGGGAAAGCTGCAGAGATGACCTCTGGAACGCCCAAGAGTCTTCTGGTTAGGATTTGCCTCATGCCTGTTGCCCTCTTGCTGGTTCACACAACTCAGCTTTCCCCACAACTGCCAGAACCTGGATGTACATTAGTGGGCTGTGTGAACTGGTAGACCCACAGATTTGACCCCCATATCACTAAAACAGAAGACATTTGGGGGGACTCTTGGGGACTCCAGAGATCATCTGTACAGCTTTCCCAGCTGCAAGAACCTAGGCGCAGGGTTAGTGGGTTGTGTGAACTGGCAGATTGGACCCACAAATCTCCCAGTTCACACAATCCACTAAACGTACACTCAGGTTCGTGCAGTTGTGGGAAAGCTGACCTCTGGAGTCCCCGAGAGTCTTCTGTTTTGGATTTGCCTCATGCCTGTTGCCCTCCTGCTGGTTCACACAACTCACAAAATCTGCCGGTTCACACAACCCCCTAACTAACCCTACACTCAGGTTCTGGCGCAGAAGGAGCCGCGCAGATGGACTCTGGAGTCTGTCAGAGTTTTCTGTTTTGCATTCGCCCCGTGGCTGTTGCCCTCCTGCTGGTTAATGTGACCCACAAATCCGCTGAGTCACACAACACACCAACCCTACACCTAGGTTCTTGCAGCTGGGAAAGCTGCACAGATGATCTCTGGAGTCCCCAAGAGGCCTCCCCCCTCAAAGTGTCTTCTGTTTTAGATTTGCCTCAGGCTTCGTTGCCCTCCTGCTGGTTCACACAACCCACCAATCGCCTGCTTCACACCACCCACTGACCCTACACCCAAGTGCTCGCACAAAAGAGCTGCACAGATGACCTCTGGAGTGCCCAGCAGTCCCCTGTTTGGGATTCTCCCCTCCTGCCTGTTGCTGTTGCCCTCCTGCCTTCTGTGAGGCGATTTGCCCATTGCCCCATGTTTTTCTGAGCAAAACCAACAGACCAAGGTTCAAAATGGTGGTGCTTTTCCTTCCAGGGGAGGGAAGGGAGAACTGCAATTCCCAGCATTCCGAGCTGTGCCGCTCGGAATGCTGGGAGTTGAAGTCCACAATCATCCTAAGAGGCTTAAACCAGTGGTTCCTAACCTGGGTGATATTGCCCCCCAGGGGGCGATTTCATTTTTCAGGGGGGCGGTGGAACAAAAATGGGCAACGTGGGAGCAAAGGAACAAAAAGGGGGCGATAAGGGGGTGATGGAGCGAGAAGTTTTGGGGACACTTTTGAGACTTTTTCGTACAGTGAATCGCTGTATATCTTGTCGTACAAAAACATCAGATCGCTCACTATTGGTGGATTGAATTGTGTTTTCAAATGTTCCTCCAGCTAGCTTCAGGACAGAACGCCGTACATATGTGAATACGCATCGCTTATCTTCATGCGCGTTGCGCAGCAGCCTCTACCCTTTTGATATTTCTTTGTGCGTCTTAAATTTCACTTCTAATACAATCCTTAAATGTTCCTGTTTTTCTTTTCGGGCATTTCACTTTCTTGCCACGGAATTTTGTTTTCAGTGATCATAACATTTCAGTGTCTTGAATAAATAAGATAATCATGAAATACATGGATCACGAGGTTTGGGAATAAAGTGACAGGTGGCACCAATATTTTTCACACAGTTGAGATATGGGGGAAAGAGACTGGAAATACATTATTTGCATCGATATGTCCTGATGACAATTTTAAAAAAAAACAAAAAAAAGGGTTTGCATAAATTGAAGAATTATTTCCTAGGTTGTGACTGAGAGGTTTTGTTGGGGGAGGGGGGGGCGATGACAACTTCCTCATTGGCTCGAGGGGGCAATTCGTTCAAAAAGGTTAAGAACCACTGGCTTAAGCCAGCGGGCCTTCTAGAGTTGGTGCAGCCTCTAAGTCTCCTTTTTTGCCGATTCTCGCCTACTTTTTTTCATCGCTGCCCACTCCACGATTACGTCTCTTACCTCGTCCCTCAGCCCAGGCACCCCAAAACCAGCTCCTTGGCCAGTTGCCAAGTCTGAGCAACACCGCTTTTGACACTCACATTCAGGTGCTGGGCAGCCCGTGCCCAGAGGGGGTAGTGGTGCTTGGGGGGGGGGTCTCACTGGGGCAGTGGAGAGGAGGGCTTCTGTGTCCCGGGGGGGATTCCTTTGCTCCCGTAATATTCCACCACCTGTCTGGGGACTTCAGCCAGGACGGTCTTGGCGAGAGCATTGGGGGGGGCCTGGGAGGAAAAGAAAGAAGAGTGGGGAGGGAGGGAGGGAGGGAGGGAGGAAGGAAGAGAGTAGAAAAAAGGAAGGAAAGGTAAAGAAGGAAGGAAGGAAGGAAGGAAGGAAGGAAGGGAGTAGAAAAAAGGAAGGAGGTAAAGAGGGAAGGAAGGAAGCAAGGAAGGAAGGAAGGGAGGGAGTAGAAAAAAGGAAGGAAAGGTAAAGGAGGGAGGGAGGAAGGAAGGAAAGTGACAGAAGGAAGGAAGGGAGGGAGGGAGGAACGAAGGAGGGAATGGAGTAGAAAAAAGGAAGGAAAGGTAAAGGAGGGAGGGAGGGAGGAAGGAAGGAAGGAAAGTGACAGAAGAAAAGGAAGGAAGGAAGGAAGGAAGGAAGGAGACAAGGTGAAGGAAGGGAGTGAGGGACCGAGGAAGGAAATAGAAAAAAGGAAGGAAAGATATAGGCGGGTGGGAGGAAGGAAGGAAGGAAAAAAAGAAGGAGGAGGGTGGTAGAAGGAAGGAAGGGAGGGAGGAGGGCAGGAAGAAGACAAAAGGAAGGAATGGAGGAAAGTGACAGAGAGAAGGAAGGAAGCAAGCAAGCCAGGAAACAAGGAGACAAGGTGAAGGAAAGGAGCGAGGGAACGAGGAAGGAAGTAGAAAAAAGGAAGGAAAGATAAGGGAGGGAGGGGGGAAAGAAGAAGGGCGGTAGAAGGAAGGAATGGGAGGAAGGTGACAGAGAGAAGGAAGGAGAACGGTGAAAGAAGGGAAGGAGAAAAGAAGGAAGTAGAAAAAGGGAGGATGGAAGGATGGAAGGAAGAAGAAAAGAAGAAGGAGGGTGGTAGAAGGGAGGGAGGGAGGTGGGAAGGAAGAAGAAGAAAAAGAAGAAGAAGAAGAAGAAGAAGAAGAAGAAGAAGAAGAAGAAGAAGAGGAAGAGGAAGAGGAAGAAAAAGAAGAAGAGGAAGAAGAAGAAGAAGAAGAAGAAGAAGAAGAAGAAGAAGAAGAAGAAGAAGAAGAAGAAGAAGAAGAAGAAGAAGAAGAAGAAGAAAGGAAGGATGGAGGGAGGGGACAGAGAGAAGGAAGGAAGGAAGGACAAACGGAGAAAGAAGGCCTGTGTAGGCAGACATTCAAGGCCCAAAGCAGCCCTTGAGCCCCTCCTGAGGGCCGGGGCCTTACACCACCACCCCAAAGCAGAGCCTGGCATCCCCCCCCCTCACCTTCTTGAACTCCCGGACAGGCACAAACTGCACGATGTCCCGGACGGCCCTGCCCTCCTCCGTCTCCAGCATCCCTCGGTCCCCGTTCAGCTCCCGCATGTCGGAGAAGTCGGCGTTCCCGATGCCCACAATGATGATGGAGAGCGGCAGGCGGGAGGCCCGCACCACGGCGTCGCAGGCCTCGGGCATGTCGCTCACCACCCCGTCGGTCAGGATGAGCAGCACCCGGTACTTCTGCAAAAGAGGCCGGGGTCTCTCAAAGGCCACGAGGGGGACACGAGGCAGGATCCCCCCCTTGGCCCTTGGGCTGGGGTGTGGGGGGTCTTAGGTGTCCCCCCCCTCCCGTACCGTGGGCCTGCCACTTTTCTCCTCCTCGGCTGCCGGCCCGGCCACCTTGCTGATGATGGGCGCCACGTTGGTGGGGCCGTACAGCTCGATCTGGGGCAGGCAGCGCTTGTAAGCCTCGATCACGCCCAGAATCTCTGCCAGGGAAGGAAAGAAACCTAGATTGCAAACCGGGTTTGTTTCCCTGGGCTGCGTAGGTGTGTGCGCGTGTGGCTAACGTGTATATTTTATTTTTGTCACGTTTAGGCAGGGCATATTGGAGGGGGTTACCCTTTGATAGCCGTGTGAAAGAAAATCTCATTTTAATGTAGGCTGATTAGCGTACGTTTAAAGTGATAATAAAGTTATTCTTTCTTTCTTTCTTTCTTTCTTTCTTTCTTTCTTTCTTTCTTTCACCCTTCCTCCCTCCATATTTCCTCTTTTAAAAATTCTCCTTTTCTTTTCCCCCAAATTCCTTCCTTCCTTCCTTTCATCCGTCCTCTCTCCATCCCTCCCTTCTTAATATTTCCTCTTTTTAAAATTCTCCTTTTCCTTCCTTCCTTCCTTCCTTCCTTCCTTCCTTCCTTCCTTCCTTCCTTTCTTCCTTCCTTCCTTCTTTCCTCCCTTAATATTTCCTCTTTTTTAAAATTCTCTTTTTCCTTCCTTCTGTCCTTCCTTCCTCCCACCCTCCTTTAATATTTCCTTTTTAAAATTTTCCTTCCTTCTGTCCTTCCTCCCTCCCTCCCTCCCTTAATATTTCCTCTTTTTAAAATTCTCCTTTTCCTTCCTTCCTCCCTCCTTTCCTTCCTTCTTTCCTTCCTCCCTCCCTTCCTTCCTTTTTTCCTCCCTCCCTTCCTGCCTCCCTCCCTCCCTTCTTTCCTCCCTTCCTTCCTTCCTCCCTCCCTTCTTTCCTTCTTTCCTCCCTCCCTTCCTTCCTTCCTCCCTCCCTCCCTCCCTTCCTTCTTTCCTCCCTTCCTCTCTTCTTTCCTACACCCTCCCTTCCTTCCTTCTTTCTTCCTTCCTTCTTTCTTTCTTCCCTCCCTCCCTCCCTCCCTCCCTCCCTTCCTTCCTTCCTTCCTTCCTTCCTTCCTTCCTTCCTTCCTTCCTTCTTTCTTTCCTTCCACCTAACTCCATCAAGTGACTCTATTATTGCCTAGGTTTTCAATCCCCCCAATTTTCTTTTTTTTAAAAAAAAAGCAGCAGCAATTCCACTGAAAATCACAATTCTTCCTTACTTTCACATTCGGGGTTCTTCGGATCAAAGTTGATGGCGAAATCGTGAGACACCTGTCCGAAGAAACAAAACAAAACCAAAAAAAGCAAACCAACAAACAGGAACGAGGATTCGCACCCCGAGCACAAAAGGGGGACGATTCGGTTTAACCGGATCTCAGGATTCGTACCTCGAAATCCGGAGGGATTCTCGCTCCGAAGCCAAAGGCCGGGAACCGTTTATCGCTGGAAGACAGAAACGCTGTTTTAGTTCTCCACCCGGACAGGTGGCAGGTGGGGGATTCTGGGAGTCGTAGTTTCGACATTCCAGGCGCACCCCCTATCCTGTACCTGTCGTAGTCCTGGCAGATTTCGCCCACGGACGACAGCGTTTTCAGGTATTCGTTCGGCTCTCGGGGGCTGATGAAATGGAGCGAATGTTCACTTCTGGGGTCCCCGTTGGAGGCTGTGAAGTCAATGGCTACCTGGGCAAGGGAGAGAGAGAGAGGGAGCCAAGCGGTGTAGCCTAGTGGTTAGAGCATCGGATTCGTACCTGGAATTTTCCGATTCTCATTTCCGGGCGCAAAGCTCTCCGAGCGAATTTCGAACGTTTGCTGGGAATCTGAAAGGAGAAGCTGGAGGAATCTTGGCTTATTGTTATGAATGGTTATGAAGGTTAAGCCGGAGCGACAACAGGCAAAAAAGCTAACACAATCCTGGGTTGTGTAAACCGAGGCACAGAATCAAGATCACGCGAAGTATTAGTGCCGCTTTATAAAGCCTTTAAAAATCCCGTGTCCAGTTTTGGTCATCCCGTTACAAAAAAAATATGTTTTTGAGACTTTGGAAAAAAAGTGCAGAGAAGAGCAACTAAGATGATTAAAGGCCTGGAGACTAAAACATAGGAAGAACGGCTGTGGGATTTGGATATGGATAGATTTAGACCAGTGGTTCTCAACCTTTTTAATGCCGCGACCCCCAACTGATCGTAAGTCAAGGACTACTCAACCAGTCGTAAGTCGAGGACTACTCAACTGGTGCAGCACCGTTGGCAGAATGGGACTTTTGGCGGGCTCAGCAGGGCAGAGACAGCCTGGACAATTCCTATTGGCTTTTGAAAGCCAATAGAATTAGACTTTATTCAAGAGAGTCTATTCTATTGGCTTTCAAAAGCCAATAGAATAAAAGGGAGGAGCACAGCTAAGGAAAAGGGGGAAAAAATGGCGGACTGCGTTGTTTGACGACCCCCGTGAAATGGTCGTTCGACCCCAAATGGGGTCCCGACCCACAGGTTGAGAACCACTGATTTAGAGAAAAGACGGACTTAGGGAGGACATGATAGCTGGATTCCAGTATTTGGGGGGGGGGGGCTGCCACAAAGAGGAGGGGGGGTCAACCTATTCTCCAAAGCATCAGAGGGCAGAACAAGAAACAATGGTTGGAAATTAATCAAGGAGAGAAGCAACCTGGAATCAAGGAGAAACTTCCTAACAGTGAGGACAATTAACCAGTGGAACAGCTGGCCACCAGAAAGTGTGGGTGCTTCATTACTGGAGATTTTTAAGAAAAGAGTGGACAACTACCTATCTGAAATGGGCATGGGGTTGGACTAGAAGACCTCCAAGGTCCCTTCCAGTTCTATTCTGATTTATTTATTGATTGATTGACTGATTGATTGATTGATAGGTTGGGGCCAAACAGATCCAGATCTAAGGGAACTACTTGAAGTTTTCTCCAGATCTGGACAAATGTACCAAAGAAAACCTAATACTAAATCAGGGATCTTCAAACTTGGCTCTTTTATGACTTGTGGACTTCAACTCCCAGAATTCCTCAGCCAGCATGCCTGGCTGAGGAATTCTGGGAGTTGAAGTCCACAAGCAGGGGTCTTCCAGCTTGGCCCTTTTATGACTTGTGGACCTGAACGTCCAGAATTCCTCAGTCGGCCATTTTGATGAAACTGAGGGCTTAGATCCAGACCAGGGGTCTTCCAACTTGGCCCGTTTATGACTTGAGGGCCTCAACTCCCAGAATCCCTCAGCCAGCATGCCTGGCTGAGGAATTCTGGGAGTTGAAGTCCACAAGTCATAAAAGGACCAAGTTGGAAGACCCCTGTACTAAAAGCCTACGTTGAATAGGAAAGAGTTCTGAAGCCACACCTATATTTGGAGGAATTAATACAGGCAGTCCTCAGTTAGTGACTGCCTTGGACAGCGACTGTTAGCAGTCACAATGGTGAGGAAAAATTTTTGCAACCGATCCTCGCAGTTTAGGACCTTTGCCGGCCTGCAAAGCCAAAGAAAGCTGAAGGAAAAAACACAGCCATGGTTTCACTTCCGGACCACTTCACTTAACAAGTTGCCAAGTTGTGGTCACTAAAGGAGGACCACCTCTATTGCGAACGTTCTTTAAAAATCACTCCTTGTCATCTTAAACATCCTTTTTTTTTCTTTCAGTAAAGGCAGTCCTCAACTTACGACAGTTCATTCAGTGACCGTCCAAAGTGACAAACTCACTGAAAAAAGTGACTTGCGACCGTTTTTCACACTTAACGACAGTCACAGCATCCCCCTCCCCACGGTCACGTGATCAAAATTTGGACATTGTCAACTGATTCGTAATTATGTCGGTTGCAATGTCCTGGGGGGGTCACGTGATCCCCCCCTTTGCGACTGGGGGAAGCCAGATCCACTTAACGACCGTGTGACTCGCTTAACAATCACTTAGCAGTGATTCACTTAACAAGTGTAGCAGGAAAGGTCGTAAAAGGGGGTCAAAATGCCTGCATTACGATTTAAAGTGAGACAGTGAAACAATACAGGCAGGTAATCAATCGATATATAAAATAATAGGACAATCAACAGCCTGCTCTTAATTCTTAATTCTAAAACTTACTGTGAAGGAGATTTGCAAACCACCCATGATGTAATCCAGGAAGGTGTGGACTTTCTCCATCTGCAGAGAGACAATGATGATTAGTCTAAGGGCTGCGACGGTCAGCCATCATCAGAATCTTTGCTTTCTTCGTCTTCGGATCAATATATTAATACCGACACCCCAGGTTACAAGGCTCACCTTGCACTGAGTGAGGACAATATATCCAGAATTTTTGTAGTTTTTCTTCTTTTCTTGATACTTGTGGTTAATACATTCCCATTTCACCTGCCAAGGGGGGGGAAAAAAGGAAATTAGGTTATAATCCATATTTTTGCCTTCTGCTGTTCTGGATTATTATTATTATTTTCAACTAACTCCAGCATTAAAACACTTTTTAAAATTTAGGGTGTTTTTTTTTTTTTGTAAAATATATAAATTCCTAAAGGTCGATTCCCCCCCCCAATATAAATTACTGACGATATGCAGATAGTCCTCAACATATTAAACAAACTTAGTATGGGAAAAAATGCTTTATGACTTGTCCTCCCACTTACGACCATCCAGATCCCTTGATCGTGATGTGGGCACTTAGCAACTGATTCATGTTTATTTGTTTATGTTTTTATAAAGTTTTATTATTTTTTTTAAACAGAATTCAGCAGTAACCATTCAACAAAAATGTGTTGTCTGAGCATCTTATTCACTAATGCAAATTAAATTCTTAATCCCGAAATCTTTTCTCTAACCATGGATAAAATAGGTCCCAAGTTTGAAAATATTCTGTTTTTTTTTCTTTTTCTTTCAACCTTAAAGTAAGCCTGTCCGTTTCTGCCCAGTCTAGTATTTTTTTTTAATTATTTCTTCTTCTGGTGGTGTTTCTTCGTTCTTCCCATATGGTGCAAATATAATTTTTGCTGCTTGTTATCGTGTGTAAAATCAAGTATTTTGCTTATCAAGTTTTTCTGGCATTATGCCTAGTAAAAAAAAATAATCGGGTTTATAGTCTAGGTGTTTCTCTAACATTTTTTCTAACCAAAGTGTGAATTTTTGTCCAATATCTCCTTGCTTTGACACATGTCCACCACAAATGACAATAAGTACCTGGCTTATGCTTACATTTCCAACATTTCTCTGACATATTTTTAAACATTTTTGCTAATCTTGTTGGTGGCAAGTACCATCTATAGAACATTTTGCATAAGTTTTATATAATTGACTCAATTATCAATTAACCAGTGGAACAACCTGCCTCCAAAAGAGACTGGACAGCCATTTGTCCGAAATGGTAAAGGGTTTCCTGCCTAAGCAGGGGGTTGGACTAGATGACCTCCAAGGTCCCTTCCAACTCTATTATTCTTATTATCATGTTTATGATCAATTGCATCGTCCTGCAGTCACATGCTTGCAAATTGTGACTTTTTTTTTTTTTTTGCTGTTTTCTGGCCAAAACCAGCAAAAAAAAATGTCCACTGGGGGGAAGCTGGATTCGTTTAACGAACATGTGATTCGTTTAACGACCACATGTTTTGCTTAATGACCATTGTGATTCACTTTACGGTAAAAATGGTAGTAAAATCAAGTCCCGTCACATCCAGATTTACAATCTCACCAAACTATGGGAGAGATTCCAGTCCCAAGTATGTGGTCACAGGCTCCCTGAATCTATTTTATCCTCATCCCAAGGGTGGTGAAAACTCAGCCAGCAAATTCATGGTCCTTCCATCATTTTAATTCTTTCAGATTTCTGGTGTTTTGTTTTTTCCTTCTGAGGTTGGCCAAGTGGAAATACTCTGAAGTTTGAAATTCCCTGACAGTGGGGACAATTAACCAGTGGAACAGCCTGCCTCCAGAAGCGGTGAATGCTCCAACACTGGAAGTTTTTAAGAAGAGACTGGACAGCCATTTGTCCGAAATGGTATAGGGTTTCCTTCCTGAGCAGGGGGTTGGACTAGATGACCTCCAAGGTTCCTTCCGGGTCTGTTATTCTTTTTCTTCCTTCCTTCCTCCCTCCCTTCTCCAACACTGGAAGTTTTTAAGAAGAGACTGGACAGCCATTTGTCTGGAATGGTGTAGAGTTTCTGCCTGAGCAGGGGGTTGGAATTGATGACCTCTAAGGTCCCTTCCAACTTTATTATTATTATTATTATTAGTCAAAACTAGCACAGCGCTGAACCAGCTGGCGTTGCTAAAGTGTCTCCTTTCACAAGTGCCAAACTCCCAGAGTGAGTTTTCCATCTTAAAAAAAAAAAAACAGCAGGCTTTTACTTTTTTTAATGAACGAAGTGGATAAGCAGATAAAGGCTGGATCTTTTTTTGTTTTGTTTTTTTTAAATTAAATGAAGGAAAACGCCCGGCTGCAACACTAAAAGTCAGCATTAAAATTTACAGCAGAGTCTGATTTGCTAAATTCCACTTTCTAGTTATTTCAGTTAAGGTCTATTAAGGCTAAGGTGAAGGGGGGCTTCACTCCAGGCCCAGAATTCTCCCACCCCTCATATTGGGCCTTGTTGGGAACGCTGGGAACTGAAATCCAGGCAAGGACACAAGTGGACCTGCCCACCTCTCTCTCCTTTTTCTTTCTTTCTTTCTTTCTTTCTTTCTTTCTTTCTTTCTTTCTTTCTTTCTTTCTTTCTTTCTTTCTTTCTTTCCTTTCTTCTTCCTTCCTTCCTTCCTTTCTTTCCTTCCTTTCTCCCTCCTTCTCTTCCTCTCTCCTTCCTTCCTTATTTCCTTCCCTCCCTTTTACCTTTGATCCATTGCCCCTTCCCTCCTTCCCTCCCTCCCGGCCGCCCTCCCTCCCTCTCTTCTTTCCTTCCCTCCATCCTTCCTTCTCTCTCTTTCTCCTTCTCTTTTTCTCCCCCGCTCCCTCCATCTCCTTCTCCATCACCTCGTCTCCAGAAGACGCCTTCAGCATCTCTTGAAAGCTTGTGTTGAATTCCCCAATGTAATCGTGCTTCCCGCTGGAGTCGTGATCGTAAACCAGACACTGGAAAAGAAAGCAGGCAAAGTGACAGAGCCAGAAATACGGAGGAGAATTGCTTTTTTTTTTTTAATAATAATTTTTTATTTTTCCAAACTCTCCCCCATACATATCCCGTAATACTTATCAGATATTAACATACATTCCCTCCACGCTCACCTACAGATACTTTTAACAAAATGAAATAAATACATACACATAACTTTGGTGTTGCTCGCCCATTTCCCCTTTCACCGTATCCATACTCCCTTCTTCTTTACCTTCTTTCTCCCTTTCTTCTCTTCCCTACTTCCCTCTTCTTCCTCTCCTCTCCTTCACCACTCTCCTCCCCTTTCCTCTTCCTCCAGCCTTCCTACTTCCTTCTCCCCTCCTTTACTCTTTTCTCTCTCCTCTCCTTTCTTCATCCCTCTTCAGATACAATTCAGGGGTAATGTCCGAGCAACTAATACGGAGGAGAACTGCTGTGCCCTGCTTCCTTCCGGAAAAAATAAACTGCCTTCAAATCCTATTAAAAGGCAGGCAGACCCTGATTCACCTGGGGTTTTTTTTTCCCCCGCCAGGACCAGAGAAATAAAACAGTTGGAAAATTGGTTCTGCTACTCCATCGCTTGGTAGGTTTCCTAATTGTTCGCTGTAATTTGAGATTATTTCCAGATCTAAAGCAGTGTTTCTTCAACTTGCCAAGGTTAAGCCGGGTGGACTTCAACTCCCAGAATTCCCCAGCCAGCTGGGAGTTGAAGTCCACCCGGCTTAAACGTGCCCAGTTTAAGAAACACGGATTTAAATCCTTTCATACTGATGTCTAGAACTAAATAGATTTTTTTTCCCCACAACGGTGAGGCCAAGACATTTGAAATGGATATTCTGCGCTCAATTCATCCCCCCTCCCTCAATTTTCTTTTTCTTTCTATCTTTCTTTCTTTCTTTCTTTCTTTCTTTCTTTCTTTCTTTCTTTCTTTCTTTCTTTCTTTCTTTCTTTCTTTCTTTCTTTCTTTCTTTCTTTCTTTCTTTTTTAATACAGCTCGGAAGAAGCTTACCCGTATAGGCCTGTCGGGGTCACAACTGCACAGCGATTGCAAAGAAATTCGGAATGGCTGCCACCGAGGGTTCAGGTTGTTCTTCACCACCTGGGGCACAAAACGATGGGAGAGAGATTTTCAAAAAAAGGTTCACCCCAAGAAATTGTCATATTTTTTTACCCCTAAACTGTGTGTGTATGTATGTGTGTGTTTGTGTGTGCATGCGTGTCTGCTTGTCTGTCTATCTGTCTGTCTGTCTGTCTGTCTGTCTGTCTATCTATCTATCTATCTATCTATCTATCTATCTATCTATCTATCTATCTAATGTCTATCTATATCTATCTTTCTGTCTGTCTGCCTATCTATCTGCTGTCTATTTATTATCTATCTATCTATCTATCTATCTATCTATCTATCTATCTATCTATCTAATGTCTATCTATATCTATCTATCTATATCTATTATCTATCTGTATATCTATCTATATCTATCTATCTATGTCTATTTATTATCTATCTGTCTGTCTGTCTATCTATATCTATCTATCTATCTATCTATCTATCTATCTATCTATCTCATCTATCTATCTATCTCATCTATCTATCTATCTATCTATCTATCTATCTATCTATAATAATAATAATAATAGTAAAGTTGGAAGGGACCTTGGAGGTCATCTAGTCCAACCCCTTGCTCGGGCAGGAAACCCTACACCATTTCGGACAAGTGGCTGTCCGATCTCTTCTTAAAAACTTCCAGTGTTGGAGCATTTACTGCTTCTGGAGGCAGGCTGTTCCACTGATTAATTGTTCTCACTGTCAGGAAGTTTCTCCTTAGTTCTAGGTTGCTTCTCTCTTTGAGTTCTATCTCTATGTCTGTCTATTTATCTGTCTATCTGTCTGTCTATCTATCTATCTATCTATCTATCTATCTATCTATCTATCTATCTATCTATCTATCTATCTAATGTCTATCTATATCTATTATCTATCTGTCTGTCTGTCTATCTATATCTATCTATCTATGTAATCTATCTATATCTATCTATCTATGTCTATTTATTATCTATCTATCTGTCTGTCTATCTATATCTATCTATCTATGTCTATCTGTCTATCTATCTGTCTATCTATCTGTCTATCTCTCTCTGTCTGTCTATCTATCTGTCTATCTATCTATCTATCTATCTATCTATCTATCTATCTATCTATCTATCTTCTATCTATATGTATATATATAATTTATCTATCATCTCTCTCTCCATCTATTTATTGATATTACCTCAAGATCACTCTGGGTGGCTTACAATCATAAAAGGTGAAAAATAATATAAAACTAAGTTTATTTTATTTAATTTAATTTCTTAATTACATTTCTTCGCTGGCCATCTCGTTTCGAAACGATGCCGGGCGTCTTGCAGCCCTAAAAGCCTTGAAATCATAAAAGACGAGTAATTCTAAAACCTTAACAGGATTGACCGTATCCCTTCGGATAGCCGGTTAACCGATCAGCCGGCTCAGAGGCTTGCAAAGCGTCTCCTGGCTGCTACTTCAGCTTCCTTCCAGCCCATTTTAATTGGTTATATCTCCATTGCCCCCCCCTTTTTTAAACCCCCCCTCCCATCAAACTTTCCAGAGGGGATCCATAATATCCTCACCTCTGTTCTCCAGACCAAATTGTCCGACTCGCCAGAGCCCATCTTATATATTTCCAGGAAAGGATCGGATTTGCTAAAGAAATCCTGCAGAGAACAGGTTAAAAAAAGAGAGAGAGAGAGAGAGTAATTTTTTTTCACGAAACGCCCAGGAGCCGATCACAACAATCCAGATTTGGTATCACACCAGCTGTTCTCCCACGGAGGTCCTTCAAGGTCCTCCAACACACCCTTGCCCCCCCCCCTTTCCAGGTAGTCCTCGACTTACGACAATTGAGCCCAATACTTCTGCCGCAAAGCGAGACCCTTGCTAAGTCAGCTTTGCCCCGTTTCATGACCTTGCTTGCCACCGTTGTGAAACACAGCCGTTGGTCCCCTAATCACGCAGTTGTTAAGAGAGTCTGGCTTCCCCATAGACTTTGCCTGCGCCCAGGACCGTCATAAATACGTGCCAGTTGCCAAGTGTGGCAGCTTCAAACGGTCACTAAACGAATCGTTTTAAGTCGAGTTCTACCTGTACTTCTGCTGGGTTCCTCAGCCTAGAGATAAACCTTAAAGTCTTCCACAGCTAGCCTGCTCTTCAAGAATACAGGCAGTCCTCGAATTACAGTGATTCGTTTAGTGACCGTTCAAATTTACAGCGGCACTGAAAAATGGGACTTGGGGCCGTTTTCCAGACTTACGAACTTTACAGCATTCCCCCACGGTCAGAAGATCAAAATTCAAAAGCTTGGCAAGCAGACTTGTATTTAATAATAATGATAATGATAACAACAACAACAATAAATAATGCTGATAATAATAATGGTAATAATAATAATAATAATGGTAATCATAATGACAATAATTATAATAATAACAATAATAAAAATGGTAATCATAATGATGGTGATAATGATAATAATAATAATGATGATAATAATGATAATAACAATGGTAATAAATAATAATAACAACAATGATAATAATAATAATAATCGTAATGGTAATGGTAATAAATAATGATAATAATCATAATGGTAATGGTAAATAATGATAATGATAATGGTAATAATAATGGTAATGGTAATAATAATAAATATTAATAATAATGATAATAATAATATAATGATAATAATAATGATGATAATGATAATAATAATAATGGTAATCATAATGATATTAATGGTAATAATAATGATGATAATGATAATAATAACAATGGTAATAAATAATAATAATGGTAATAATAATAATCGTAATAGTAATGGTAAATAATGATAATGGTAACGATAATGGTAATAATAATGGTAATGGTAATAATGATAATAATGGTAATAATAATAAATAATGATGATGATAATAATATAATAATAATAATGATGATAATGATAATAATAATGTAATCATAATGATAATAATGGTAATAATAATGATGATAATAATAATAACAATGGTAATAAATAATAATAATAATGGTAATGGTAATAAATAATGATAATGATAATGAGAATGGGAATAATAATAATGATAATAATAATATGATAATGATGATGATAGTGATGATGATGATGATGATGATGATGATGATAATAATAATAATAATAATAATAATAATAATAATAATAATAATAATGTTGGAAGGGAACTTGGGAGGTCCTCTAGTCCAACCCGCCCCTGCTCAGGCAGACAACCATATACCATTTCAGACAAATTTATGACCGTTCCAGTGTCCCAAGGTCACGTGATCCCCACCTTTTGCCACCTTCAGACATGTCAAGTCCAATGGGGAAGCCAGATTCACTTAACGTCCGGCTGGCTAACTTATCAATTCACTGAACGACATGGGGCAAGGAAGGTCGTCAAACGAGGCCAAACTCCCTGAACCAACAAAACTGGGGTCAATTGCTGTGGTTTATTTATTCCTTATTCTGTTTTTCTCCAAGAGCAGCTTTACGGGAGGGGGGAAAAAATCGGTCAGCCTTTCCTCCCACCCCCACTACCTGATTTTGGGGGGGACCCCCAAGGACTCTCGGGGACGGGGAAAGCCAAGCACACGCCAGCGTCACGCCGTGCTCGTTTCAGGAGGGCTGGAAAGCCATGTTTCACCCGGCGGTGCGGGGGGAAAAAAAATTGCATTTTTTAAAAGCCTGCAGAGAGCAGGTTTTCTCCAAATGAGCTCAGCCCCGCTGGGCAATCCTCAGAGGGAAAAAAAAGGCCGGGCAGATTAAATGGGGCATCAACAAACTGACGCAGCTCCATCACACCAGCGGCTCACAACCTTGCGAACAGAACAAAAAAGATGGCGGAGAACAAGCCGTTTGCTAACCGATCAGCCTGTTTAAGGCAATCGAAAATATCCGCAAAAGTTTCTGGACGTGGGCGGTGTTTAGCATAACGGGTTAACCATTTTAAAACGGGTGGGCTTCAACCCCCAGAATTCCCCAGCCGGCGTCTGTTAACTGCCCACTTTAGAATAGAACAGAACAGTATAACAGAGTTGGAAGGGACCTTGGAGGTCATCTAGTCCAACCCCTTGCTCAGGCAGGAGACCCTAGACCAGGGGTAGACCACCTGGGCTCTTTTATGACTGGTGGACTTCAACTCCCAGAATTCCTGAGCCATCCATGCTGAGGGGAAAAGGAGAGTTTCTAATCTGAGCCAGGCTGGCTCAGGAATTCTGGGAGTTGAAGTCCACGAATCCTAAAAGAGCCAAGGTTGCCTACCCCTGCCCTAGACCATTTCAGACAAATGGCTCTCCAGTCTCTTCTTAAAAACTTCCAGTGTTGGAGCATTCACCACTTCTGGTGGCAAGTCGTTCCGCTGGTTAATTGTTCTCACTGTCAGGAAATTCCTCTTTAGTTCTACGCTGCTTTTCTCCTTGATTAATTTCCATCCGTTGCGTCTTGTCCTGCCTTCAGATGCTTTGGAGAATAGCTTGACACCCCCCCTTCATATCATATCATCATCATATCACCCTGGCCCTTCCCTTCATTAAACGTTATTCTTCCTTCTTTAAAAATCAGTCATTCATGAGGTAAATGTCTGGTTTAAAATGCCGCCAGTTTCCAGGCTACACAGCTCTCTTCCCAGCCAAAGAGTCCTGTGACACCCCAACCTTGGATATTGATTTCTCTAGGATCCGCTTCCCAGTTTTTTCTTACCTTGTCATCCAGTTCTTGACCGCAAAATTCCAGCTGGACAAACTCATTGGTGCGGGACACCTCTTCGGCTTCAATCTGCCAACAAAAAGGGCCCAGAAATTCACCTCAAGACAGGAAAAAGCCGCAAGATAACCTGCCTGCCCTTTTCTTGAAATACATGCAGCTAGTCCTCAAGGGATGACTGCCCTTGGGGGGGGGCAGAATTTCTGTTGCTAAGCAAGGCTTGGTGTGAAGTGAGTCGGGCCTGCCTTTGTGAGCCATTTTGCCACGGGCTGTTAAGCAAATCATTGCAGTTGTTAAGGGGATCGCACGGTCGCTAAGCGAATCCGGCTTATCCCTCATTGGTTTGGCTTGTCGGAAGGTCGCAAATGGGGATCACGTGACCAGAGAATAGTGCAGCCGACATAAGTACATGCCAGTTGCCAAGTGTCCGAGTTTTGATCATGTGATCACGGGGATGCTGCAATGGTCGTATGTACGAGGACCGATTGTAAACTTCTTTTTTCAGGTCTGTGGTAACTTTTAATGGTCGAAACGAATTGTTGTAATTGGAGACTATTTGTATTCTGTTTACTACTAAACTCTTCTCGTTGATATTCACTAAAGAACTTAATATATTCTAATTCGAACTAAGCATCACCCATCAATTCATCGCTCCCACCCTATATTTGAAATCTCTGGGGCTTAAATTCCTGCATACCAAGAGCTGACGGTCATTAGATGAGACAAGTGAATACTTAGTTCAAATCCCTTTTTTTCCTGTGAAGCACACAGCCCATGCCACCTTATAAGGTTGTGGTGCAGGTAAGATAGAACAAGAAAGGCAGATTGAAAATATTTGCAAAATTACAGTAAGAATCTGCTCTCCTGTTTTCAAAAGCCAGAAGAGATAACTCTTGTAAGTAAGCCAAGCTGCACACTGGGGGGGGGGAAGCTAAATGTTGATTACCAGAGGACGACACTAGTGGGATCAAGGTCAGCTTCTCCTAGCTGTTACGAGACTGATGGTCCCAACGCATCTTAGCTTTCAATTAAAATAAATTTTCGCCCGTGGTTCTAGACTACATGAAACCCAGATTGTGTTTCTGATCAGATCAGGCTGTTTCCATCGCTCCTACAATTCCTCGCATTAGGCCATGTTCCCTGCCTTTCCCCCCCACCCTCTGAATTATCCTTGGTTTCCCCTTGTTCTTCTGTAAAATTAAGATTATTTCTCATTTCTTTTTTCTCCTGCCCCCTCCCCTGGATTTATGTACCGTGATGGTTGAATTCTCCAAAATCTCTCCATTTAGCAATGCCAATTCCTTAGTAACCTTCGTCTGGGAGACAATCTGGAGATGAAAAGATAGAATTAATGTTTGGATGGATGGATGGATGGATAGCTAGCAAGACATGAAAATGGTGATAGATAGATAGATAGATAGATAGATAGATAGATAGATAGATAGATAGATAGATTAAAAGAAAGAATATGGATAGATAGAAAGAAAATGGATAGATAGAAAGAAGATGGATAGATAGATAGATAGATAGACAGAGATAAATAGAGATAGATAGATAGATAGATAGATATAGATAGATAAAAGGCAGATAGATTATAGATAGAGATAGATAGATAGATAGATAGATAGATAGATATAGATAGATAAAAGGCAGATAGATTATAGATAGAGATAGATAGATAGATAGACAGACAGACAGACAAAGATAGAAGATGGATAGATGGATAGATAGATAGATAGATAAATAGACAGACAGACACAGACAAGATAGATAGATAGATAGACAGACAGACAGATATAGATAGATAGACAGATAAAAGGCAGATAGATAGATGATAGATAGATAGATGGATGGATAGATAGATAGACAGACAGACAGACAGACAGAAGAGGGATAGACAGACAGACAGATAGATAGACAGACAGAAGATGGATAGATAGATAGATAGATAGATAGATAAGATAGAAGATGGATAGATAGATTGATGGACACATAGATAAAAGGCAGATAGATAGATAGTAGACAGACAGACCAATAAATAAATGATAGATCGATAAATAGATAGATAGATAGATAGATAGATAGATAGAAACAGATAGAAAGAAAGAATGATAGATGATAGATTGAGTGATATACAGGTGATAGATAATTAATAAATGGATGTACATAGGGAGATGATAGACAGACAGACAGGTAAGTAGACAGACACAGAGAGAGAGAGAGACAAAAAGAAAGAGAGGGGTGTGTGTGTGAGAGATGGACGGACGGACAGATGGACAGACAGAGGCCCCTCCTACCTGCCCCAGGGAGCATTCGGTGAGGCCAATCAACATCCCAACCTCAAGGCTCTCTTCGGAATCACTTTGTTCCTCAACGTCAAACACCTGGAATCTCAGATTCTGCATCTCCTCAAAGAAGTAATCCAGGGCGAAGATGTGGGCAAAAACTGGGTTCCGGGACCCGCGCAGGACTTCCGACTGCCCCACCTGGGGAAGGAAAGGAGAGGGGGGGGAGGTGCGAGGAAGCCCAGAGAGAGTATCCCACTTGGGAGAAAAGTCGGAAGATGTTTTTAGCAAGTATTGGAGGTTTGATTTGGCTGTACCTTTGTAAAGAGGAATATCGCATTTCCTGGGTTCTTTTTTTCTTTTCTTTTTTTGATGCTTATCATCTTGCAAAACAGTGTTTTTTCCTCAACTTCAGCAACATTAAGACAAGTGGACTTCATCTCCCAGAATTCCCCAGCCAGCATGAAGGAGGGAAGGAGGGGGGGTGGAGGAAGAAGGGAAAGAGAGAGGGAGGAAAGAGGGGAAGGGAGGGAGGAAGAGAGGAAGGAAGGAAAGAAGGAAGGGGGAAGGAAGGAAGGAAGGAAAGGAGGAAGGAAGGAAGGAAGGAAGGAAGGAAGGAAGGAAGGAAGGAAGGAGGGAGGGAGGGAGGAAAGGAAGGAGGGAGAAAGGAGGAAAGAAGGAAGGAAAAGAGGGAGGGAGGAAAGAAAGGAGGGAGGAAGGTAGGAAAGGAAGAAGGAAGGGGGAAGGAAGGGAGGAAGGAAAGGAGGAAGGAAGGAAATAAGAGGAGGGAAGGAAAGGAGGGAGGGAGAAAGGAGGAAAGAAGGAAGGAAAGGAGGGAGGGAGGGAGGAAAGAAAGGAGAGAGGAAGGTACAAAAGGAGGGAGGAAGGAAGGAAGGGGGAGGAAGGAAGGAAGGAAAGGAGGGAGGGAGGAAGGAAAGGAGGGAGGAAGGAAGGAAAGGAGGGAAGGAAGGAAAGGAGGGAAGGAAGGAAAGGAGGGAAGGAAGGAAGGAAAGGAGGGAGGGAGGAAGGAAAGGAGGGAAGGAAGGAAGGAAAGGAGGGAAGGAAGGAAGGAAAGGAGGGAAGGAAGCAAAGGAGGGAAGGAAGGAAGGAAAGGAGGGAGGAAGGAAGGAAAGGAGGAGGGAGGAAAGAAAGGAGGGAGGAAGGGAGGAAAGGAGGGAGGGAGGAAGGAAGGAAGGAAGGAAGGAAGGAAGGAAGGAAGGAAGGAAGGGGGAAGGGAGGGAGGAAATATTCCCACTCACTTCCAACCAGCAGTTAAGCCCTTCATTTTCCCTCTAATGCAATGGAAACCATGCTTGAGCAGGGGGGCTGGACTAGAAGACCTCCAAGGTCCCTTCCAGCTCTATTTTATTCATTTTAAGATGGGTGGACTTCAACTCCCAGAATTCACCAGACAGCCTGAGGGAGGGAAGGGAGGGAGGAAGGAAATATTGCCAGCCACTTCCAAGTGGCAATTCAGCCCTTCAATTTGCCTCTAATGCAGGGGGAGTCAACCTTGGCCCTTTTATGACTCGTGGACTTCAACTCCCAGAATTCCTGAGCCAGCTTAGCTGGCTCAGGAATTCTGGGAGTTGAAGTCCACGAGTCATAAAAGAGCCAAGGTTGACTCCCCCTGCTCTAATGCAATGGGAACCATTTAAAGACGGGTGGACTTCAACTCCCAGAATTCACCAGACAGCATGAGGGAGGGAACCATTTAAAGACGGGTGGACTTCAACTCCCAGAATCCCTCAGCCAGCATGGGGGAGGCCCAGATTTTTTTTTTTAATTTTTTGTTTTAAAGCCTTACCTCATTCCATTGTCCATCGCTGAGCAACTGAATCATCAGACGCGGGTCAGGTTTAATCTTGGCTTCTCGGTCCGGCAGGCCCCAGCAGGAGACTCGAAGTTCGACCCGGGAAGCCCCCAAAGCCACAGGCTGGGAATCGGCCCCTTCAGACATGATGGAAGCTAAAACAAGGGAAGGAGAGAAGGAGTGAAAGAGAGAGAGGGAGGGAGGGAGGGATAGGCCGGAGGACTGGAGTCCTCTGGCAGGTGGAAGATCCCTGTGGGGAGATGCTGGCTGGCTGTGGATGATGGGAACAGCGACCCAGCGGATTTTAGAAGATGCCTGCTTTGGGAACCATTGTCCTAAAGCAGTGGTTCTCGACCTTTTTAATGCCGCGACCCCCAACCGGTCGTAAGTCGAGGACTACTCAACTGATGCAGCACCGTTTGCAGAATGGGACTTTTGGCGGGCTCAGCAGGGCAGAGACAGCCTGGACAATTCCTATTGGCTTTTGAAAGCCAATAGAATTAGACTCTATTCAAGAGAGTCTCTTCTATTGGCTTTCAAAAGCCAGTAGAATAAAAGGGAGGAGCACAGCTAAGGAAAAGGGGGAATAAATGGCGGACTGCATTGTTTGGCGACCCCCGTGAAATGGTCGTTCGACCCCAAATGGGGTCCCGACCCACAGGTGGAGAACCACTGTCCTAAAGGGATTGGTGTTAGGGTAGAGTTTAAGCATTTGAAGATGGGAAGGGGAAGACGGAGGGAGGGAGGAAAATAAATAAATAAGTAAGTAATTAAGGAAGGAAGGGAGGGAGGGAGGAAGGAAGGAAGGAAGGAAGGAAGGAAGGAAGGAAGGAAGGAAGGAAAAGAGGAAGGAACAAAAGAAGGCAGGCAGAAAGGAAGAAGAGAAGGAAGGAGGGAAAGGAGGAAAAATGGGAGGGAGGAAAGAAAGGGGAAGGGAGGGAGGGAGGAAGGAAAGGGAAAAGAGGAAGGAAGAAAAGAAAACAGGCAGGAAGAAGGAAGGAGGGAAAGAAAAAATGGAAGAAGGAGGAAAGCAAGAGAGGGAGGGAGGGAGGAAAGGGAAAAGAGGAAGGAAGAAAAGAAAGCAGGCAGGAAGGAAGAAGAGAAGGAGGAAGGAGGGAAAGGAAAAATGGAAGAAGGAGGAAAGCAAGAGAGGAAGGGAGGGAGGGAGGAAAGGGAAAAGAAGAAGGAAGAAAAGAAAGCAGGCGGGAAGGAAAAGAAGAAGGAAGGAGGGAATGGAGGAAAAATGGGAGAGGGAGGGAGGGAGGAAGGAAGGAAGGAAGGAAGGAAAGGGAACAGAGGAAGGAAGAAGAGAAGAAAGAAGGAGGGAAAGGAGGAAAAATGGGAGAGGGAGGGAGGGAGGAAGGAAGGAAGGAAGGAAGGAAAGGGAACAGAGGAAGGAAGAAGAGAAGAAAGAAGGAGGGAAAGGAGGAAAAATGGGAGAGGGAGGGAGAGAGGAAGGAAGGAAGGAAGGAAAGGGAACAGAGGAAGGAAGAAGAGAAGAAAGAAGGAGGGAAAGGAGGAAAAATGGAAGGAAGGGAGGAAAGCAAGAGGGGAAGGGAGGGAGGGAGGACGGAAAGGGAAAAGAGGAAGGAAGAAAGAGCCGAGGTGGCGCAGCAGTTAGAGTGCAGTACTGCAGGCCCCTTTAGCTGACTGTGTTCAGCAGGTCAGCGGTTCAAATCTCACCGGCTCAAGGTTGACTCAGCCTTCAATCCTTCCGGGGTAGGTAAAATGAGGACCCAGATTGTTGGGGGCAATGTAATATATATATATATACATTGCTTACTGGTGTACACCGCTTAGAGAGTGCTTGCACTTAAAGCGGTATATAAGTCTCATAAATAAATAAGAAATAAATAAAAGACAGGAAGGAAGGAAGGAAGGAAGGAAGGAAGGAAGGAAGGAAGGAAGGAAGGAAGGAAGGAAGAAGAAAAGGTAGGAAGGAAGGAGGGAGAGAAGAAGGGAGGAAGGAAAGAAGGAAAGGAGGAAGAAAGAATGAGAAAGAAAGAAAGGAAGGAAGGAAGGAAGGAAGGAAGGAAGGAAGGAAGAAGAAAAGGTAGGAAGGAAGGAGGGAGAGAAGAAGGGAGGAAGGAAAGAAGGAAAGGAGGAAGAAAGAATGAAAAGAAAGAAAGAAAGGAAGGAAGGAAGGAAGGAAGGAAGGAAGGAAGAAGAAAAGGTAGGAAGGAAGGAGGGAGAGAAGAAGGGAGGAAGGAAAGAAGGAAAGGAGGAAGAAAGAATGAAAAGAAAGAAAGAAAGGAAGGAAGGAAGGAAGGAAGGAAGGAAGGAAGGAAGGAAGGAAAAGAGGAAGGAACAAAAGAAGGCAAGCAGAAAGGAAGAAGAGAAGGAAGGAGGGAAAGGAGGAAAAATGGGAGGGAGGAAGGAAGGAAGGAAAAGGAAAAGAGAAAGGAAGCAAACAAAACAGGCAGGAAGAAGGAAGGAGGGAAAGGAAAAATGGAAGAAAGGGAGGAAAGCCAGAGAGGAAGGGAGGGAGGGAAGGGAAAAGAGGAAGGAAGAAAAGAAAGCAGGAAGGAAGAAGAGAAGAAGGAAAGAGGGAAAGGAGGAAAAATGGGAGAGGGAGGGAGAGAGAAAGGAAGGAAGGAAGGAGAAAACAAGGTAGGAAGGAAGGAGGGAGAGAAGAAGGGAGGAAGGAAAGAAGGAAAGGAGGAAGAAAGAATGAAAAGAAAGAAAGAAAGGAAGGAAGGAAGGAAGGAAGGAAGGAAGGAAGGAAGGAAGGGAACAGAGGAAGGAACAAAAGAAGGCAAGCAGAAAGGAAGAAGAGAAGGAAGGAGGGAAAGGAGGAAAAATGGGAGGGAGGAAAGAAAGGGGAAGGGAGGGAGGGAGGAAGGAAGGAAAAGGAAAAGAGGAAGGAAGCAAACAAAACAAGCAGGAAGAAGGAAGGAGGGAAAGGAAAAATGGAAGAAAGGGAGGAAAGCCAGAGAGGAAGGGAGGGAGGGAAGAGAAAAGAGGAAGGAAGAAAAGAAAGCAGGAAGGAAGAAGAGAAGAAGGAAAGAGGGGAAGGAGGAAAAATGGGAGAGGGAGGGAGAGAGGAAGGAAGGAAGGAAGGAAAGGGAACAGAGGAAGGAAGAAGAGAAGAAAGAAGGAAGGAATGGAGGAAAAATGGAAGGAAGGGAGGAAAGCAAGAGGGGAAGGGAGGGAGGGAGGGAGGGAGGACGGAAAGGGAAAAGAGGAAGGAAGAAAAGACAGGAAGGAAGGAAGAAGAAAAGAAGGCAGGAAGGAAGGAGGGAGAGAAGAAGGGAGGAAGGAAAGAGGGAAAGGAAGGGAGGGAGGGAGGGAGGAAGAAAGAAAGAATGAAAAAAAGAATGAAAGGAAGGAAGGAAGGAAGGAAGGAAGGAAGGAAGGAACGGGTGACCCAATTGTTTGAAAGGATAAACCCAGCCTGGCGTCCCATTGATGCCAACCCCTGCCAGAGGCCGGGCACAGCCCCCCTCGGCCGGGGATGGAAAGAGGGGCTTGGATGGACTTGGGAACTGGCTTCCTGGAAGATGGGGGGGGCCCTCCTGGGACTCCTGCCCCGTCCAACTTCTTCCCAGCTCCAGCAATGGGACCGGAAGGTGTGGGAGGCCAGCTGGCATTCCCACATTGGCACCTGCACTTGTGAGCCTGCAGGGTGCTGAGTTAGCTCCCTGGCCTTTGATTTATGACAGGGGGGTTTGGAGCGGGGGGGGGGAGTCAGCTGCCAGGGGATGTGAGTCAGGTCAAATTTAGGATGCTCCAGCAGCAGAATTAAAAAAAGAAAAAAAAAAATCTTTAAAGATGCTTTTTCCAATCTGGAGAACAGCCGGTTAAGATTTCAAGGGATGTAAAATGCTCAATCTGAACCCGGTTAAGATTTCCTAGGATGTAACATGGTCAATAGGAACCCGGTTAAGATTTCCAGGGACATAAAATGCTGAAGTTGAACACGGTTAAAATTTCCAGGGACATAAAATGCTCAATCTGAACCTGGTTAAGATTTCCAGAGACATAAAATGTGCAATCTGAACGCGGTTAAGATTTCCAGGGACGTAAAATGCTCAATCTGAACTCGGTTAAAATTTCCAGGGACGTAAAATGCTCAATCTGAACACGGTTAAAATTTCCAGGGACATAAAATGCTCAATCTGAACCTGGTTAAGATTTCCAGAGATGTAAAATGCTCAATCTGAACCTGGTCAAGATTTCCAGGGACGTAAAATGCTCAATCTGAACCCAATTAAAATTTCCAGGGACATAAAATGCTCAATCTGAACCTGGTTAAAATTTCCAGGGATGTAAAATGCTCAATCTGAACCTGGTCAAGATTTCCAGAGACGTAAAATGCTCAATCTGAACCTGGTTAAAATTTCCAGAGACGTAAAATGCGCAATCCGAACCCGGTTAAGATTTCCAGGGCCCTGGATGACAAAAGAGACTTTGTAAATCCAAGACCACTCCTGAAGGATTGATCTATTAATGGTTCTTCAAACTCGGTAGCAAAATGGAGCCTCCATGTTTCATGGCAGTGTACCTTTGGATACCAGCGTGCCGGGGGAGGTGGGGGAAACAGGTGGGAGAATGTAAAACAGCAAAGGAAGCATCCTAGCCTTTCTCATCTCTGATTTATGAGCCTCGTGGCTGCAATTGAGCTAGAAATAGGATGCTGGAGTAATTTTACTCTGGGTCTGATCCAGCACAGCTCTCTCAAAGGGCCGACACAGCACAAGCGGATGGAGATCAAAATGCATTTGTAGACGCTCCAATTATTTACCGGGAATGCTGGCAAATAAACAGCAACCAAGCTTCAGGCACCACAGTTATGCCCCAGTTGGATTTCCGAGAGGGAGGGGCCCCACCCGGGAGCATTCTGCTGCCATTTTGACTTTTTTGACCCACTCTGACGATGCCGCTTGAGAGGAAGACATGAAGAGTTTGAAAAATAAGCTTCAAGTTCAGCATGTGCCATGAGAAAGGTTTTCTGGGGAAAGGAAGGCAGCCACAAATTTTGTGCATTTGTGTGTGTGCGTGTGTTTGTGAGTCGAAAGTTTGCTTCCCACACAGAACTTTTGTCATATTTGTTTTTTTGTCATGTTTATGGAGTGTGTATCGGTGACCCTTTGAGAGTGGTACGCAACGAAATTTCATTTTAATGCATGCCGGTTGGTGTACACTCAAAGGGACA